TGTATTTTGCAGATATCGTCATCAATGTTTTTACTGCAGTATTAAATAGATTTTGACGGATATCAGTTAAAAAATAGTGCACATATTAATAGCTTAATTATGGTACAAGCACTGGAAACGATTGCAGCAACCAGTATTTGAATGAGCTATTAAAATTTGTTTGAAAGTAAAAATTGAAGTTCTAGTTGCAAAAAAAACTACCGGATAAATGGGGAATTTGGTCAGCTATTTTGTGCAGCTAGCTAAAATTGCTAAACTGCATGCTTAGAGCTAAAGCTTTAAGTCCATCTAAGCAGTCAGTGACAGAAAATGAACGTGAAGCTATCTGGATTGAAGGAGCCGAACCCGGACGTACATGCCACTGCCAGAGCAAAAGCATCAGAAGACAGAGAAAGCCTAGTTCTTCACGTTTTTGCGTACTCCTCACTATGCGCTTAAATGATCTATTGCAGGTGCTTCCAGTCCACCCGGTATATCACCAACGGGTTACAGTTATCAATCTTCAGCAGCATACGAAAGTGATGTACCTGAAAAAGGGGAACAATGGAGCACGCAGTACAGTTATGGTGGCAACTATAAGCATTCACAAGGTCAGCACTGGGGTACCGGTCACACGAATCATTACACCACTGACGACACTGGACCCGCTGTGGACAGTGACATAACGAATCCGGGTGTGTACAGCCCACCAGTGCAGGTGCAAGAACAACTGAAAAACCAAGCACAACAACCAAGTTACATCATTACCAACACTGAATCAGTTCCGGAAAGCGAAATAACGAATCCGGAAACTTACGGCCCGATAGTGCAGCAGGTGCAAGAGCAATCGAAAAGCCAAGCGCAACAACCAGCAAGGAGTTATGGTACCGAGGAGGGTTGGGCGAATGTGCCTAAAGCATTTGTTTATGACGAACAGGGCAGTAACCAAACGACTCAACGAACCACTCCCAAATTAGGCTTTTATGGAAATGAGGTAAAAAGCTGGCCTAGCTGGCCAGCCAGGAATATAAGTTGGCCAAATTGGGTACCGATCAAAGGGGATCGCTACGAAAAGCAGCCTGCACCCTGGTGGGAAAAGGGAAGCCAACAGGAGCAGCGTGCGCCTGTATTTTCGTGGACTAGCAGTGATGGGAAGAAAGGAAAGAGGAATGAAAAACCTTATTGGTCTGGTTCTGTTGGCTGGACTGGTGATCTTGGTGGCTTTGACGAGGTTCCTCTCCCCCCATGGTCTCCAAAATATTATTCTGATAATTAACCGCTGCCAAATTATACCAGAATTCAAGCTGTTAAATTTTGAGTTTCTCAAGGCAACATTTTTAATTGTTATGTGATTTTAATCGCTGTGTTGTTGTCCTTTATGTATGAAAATGACGATTTTTGAATAAATTTTCATTGAAATCAAATTTGAGTGTGAAAAAATGCTC